AAGCAGTGACATAGCTGGGGAATGATCTACAGACAGTCGAGAGTCCACAACAAAGATGAAGCTTTTCTGCCATATCAAAAACAAGCTTGCAAAAATATGAGAAGATCACAAATCAATGCCTCTGACAGTTGAAAGATAAGGGATTGAAGGCGAAAGGCAATGATTCGGAGCAAGTGGTAAACCGTTTTTGAAGATCTTTGAAAAAAATATGAGAAACAAAATAAGAAAACTTTGAGAGAATATAGCCTGCTGCTGACGTCACCTTTACTGCACAGATGGTGATGGAAAAGTATAACTAATGCTGTCTCCATACTTCATAAGGATCGGCCGACCCTTATAACGCTCATAAGCGCAGTAAGAATCGGCCGATCAAGGGTGCGCGGCGGTTGCATTGCAGCTCCCTGCTGAGTGTCGATTTGGCGGGATCGGCTCTACCCCAGCCTTTTCACATTTTTTCCTTCCGATTTGACTCGCTTTCTTTCTTCAGGTTCTAGAGTTCTCAGAAGTCGTCAGCAAGTATGCAGGAAAGTTGAGGACAAAACACCAGGCAAAATGGTAATTGACTGCTGCGCAGCAACGCAACCGCCGCGCACCCCACAATCGGCCGATTCTTATTGCGCTTATAAGCGTCATAAGGGCCGGCCGATCCTTATGAAGTATGGAGATGCCCTAATAGGGAGAGTAAAGAGAACACCAGCTTTCCTAGTCATGGGCAAAGCCCTTAAACGTAAGCACGTTGTTCTAAAAAATACAATAAATAAAACTAGTTTACTGAGAGCCATAAGCCAAGTGCAAACTACAACAGCAGTCTTAGCCATACCACATAGATCGGCGTACACCAGTAGCGGTGCTCTCTCCTCCGTCAATCATGTTGCAGCGACAGAGGGCTTCGAACGACAGTTTCTATGGGTCCTTCTGTGATTGTAGTCTAGCAGAAATCAAATTTGAAAAGTTTAGAAAACGGGGACAAGTAGGATCGTACGTTTTGAGGCTTACTCCTATAAAAATTAAAAAATCTATGGAAGTGAGAAGTCAAGCTCCATGAACTATATGCGCGATGACGACAATCAAGAATACGCGTTCCTTCAAGTATCTCAGAACTCAGTTCCTGCCAAAGCTGAGCAGGACGAGCTGTCGGCCAAGATAAGTGCAGCCTGAGTGGAATAATGAATCTTTATGGAGCTCTGTGCGATAAATGAATGCCGGTGCAGCTGAAATTTCAAATGCACCTTACTCTAATTTGTCTAACAGCATTGGCAGTGATTGCTGGCCAAATATGCGAAAAAAGGGGCACGGGCGTATTGGGAGACAGGGTGCCGCGGTGATATACGCACGTCTAGCAGATGGACCGGGCAACCCTCAAGGGTGCCTCAGCGTGACTCGCTAGCGGCTCGTTAGCGTCGGCGCATCTGGTTGTAACGACTGTAATACTGTTATAGTTAGTTTACATTCGGAGTGTACTAATTATTGCAGGAATTAGCGTTATACCTAAAGAGTCTATGTCTAAATCGCGGTTTTTCTTTCTTTCCGCACGTTAAATTGTTGATAATGATTTCATAACAATATTGAGCAACAGCCTGACAGGAAAAAAAGCATCGATGCACATGCGATGAAAAGATTCGAACTATAATAGCTTCCATGTCAAAAAAAGGTGACGATGATGGTACGATGTGAGCAGAAGAGATGAGACCTACCCGAGAATGGTAATGCCTTCACTTAGAAGGCTTAAGATAGACGAATATCATGATTTAGTCGGAAAATTCGTTGATATCGGACTCGTGAAGCAGGATGAGTGAGAGGGAAAATAACCAATTTCAATCTCTACTTACTATATCTCCCATTCAAAAGTTTTTTTGAAATTTGACGCATAATACAAGTATTTACGTATCTCGATTCCAAGTAAATCTGTTAGATACAATTTTCAAATTTTGGTTATTTTATAATCTTGCAAGAAATTAATTTTTTAGAATCCTAATGATTGACTCAAACCTTTTTTTACAGGTTTTACTCTAGTGAAATTATCCTGGCACTGCACTTTCTTCATTCGCGAGGCATCATTTATCGAGATCTCAAACTCGACAATGTCCTCATCGATGCGGAGGGACATGTGAAACTAACTGATTATGGAATGTGCAAGGTATCAGTTTTTGACCTATTTAACTTATGAATTCATAAGATGGGAATAGTGACCTTTTCATCCTTTGACCACCTTACATCTTATATTTGAAAAAAACTGCCCAATAACGTTTATCTATCCTTGTCATTAAGCACATTTTGAATGTCGAGTAGTTAATTTTTTTCTGTATTACTTCAAAGCTTCTTTGAAAGTATAGTAACCGGGTTTTTTCCTTCATCCATTATTGGATGACACTTTTTTTTTTCTCAACGTTCCTTTAGGAAAATATTGGGCCAGGAGACGTGACTTCTACCTTCTGTGGAACTCCAAATTACATTGCCCCTGAAATTTTACGTGGAGAAGACTATGGATTCAGCGTTGATTGGTGGGCTCTGGGAGTGCTCATGTGAGTTGTTGATCCTTGGAGATTGGAAACTTTTTAATTTGACTCTTCCGTTTTACACGGCTTTCCCACTTACTACTGATCCGTCTACAGTCTGTGAAGGAATCGTTTGACTATTTTTATAGGTATGAAATGATGGCTGGACGCTCTCCATTCGACATTGTTGGTGCTACCGGAGATCCTGATCAAAACACGGAAGATTACCTATTTCAGGTCGAGATTGAAGCAATCACTGCTTTGCGCTTTGGTACATTGTTTTATTTATTACTCTTCAGATAATCTTAGAGAAACAAATCAGAATTCCTCGCAGCTTGTCGGTGAAAGCTGCATCTGTTTTGAAACAGTTCTTGAACAAGGTGAGTCTTTTTAATTCTGGAGTAATGAAAGCCATTTGGATGATCGTTTCGGGTTTTTTTTTTGTGATTTAAGTTTCACTTCGACATATTTGGGTGATGCTTACACAAAAGTAACTGCTAAGGAAGAGAAGTAAGCGTTGAGGAAGATTAACATAGCTACGACTACCTTTAGGAATCAAATGTTTCGCACTAGACTAAATCCAGTATACCTACCGATTGGTAGAAATTCT